CTAAGATTTAGCCAGTCACCGGTCGCTGCGTCTTTACAGGTCAGAGTACGGGGTGAAGATGAGGTTTACCTGAGTTTTGTTCGGTAGGAAGGTAACCCAATGAAAAACGTCTTTGAGTAAAGGATGACAGTTCATCTGTTGGTGCATTATCATCAACATTTTAGGCAAATTTCATTCTGAGTGGAGCCATAATAGTGTTTTGAATAGACATGCCAGAATTGGAAGGTGTGATGAACAATCACTTACTTAGATGATTGTCCCACATCCTTCGATTGTATCTGTATGATACAACGTTTCTAGGGGTATAATGGAAGGAAAGATTCGAGCTTATAAAATTTGTATATAATCGTATAAAGACATTGAAAGTAGTGAAGTTATAAAATCTGGCACTGAAAATGCGGGGTTTATCTATGGAGCAGTTACATGTGGAGCGTACAATTGGATTACAGAGGAACATTGTGGATGACGCATCAGGTTTTGTAATGGACAGCTACAAGTTGAGGGTTTCTTTCAAAGCTGTTATCGTTTCTCGATCCATTACGGCCGTTAGCTCAGTTTACTGTGTAAGCTGAACTTCATATTTCAAGGAACTTGTAGGAATGAACTGAGCTGGGATGAAACAGTCGATGGGGTGTTTTCCGCTCGCTGGATGCGGTGTCTAAATCTGGTATTATAGATGTCCATCCGCACTGTAATTGACCAGAAGAGGAAACGAGCCTCCTCGTTGAGAGAATACTTCACGTTTCAAGGCCCTTGGTTCAAATGAGAGACGGTAGTGCAACTGATATTTGTTTATTATGCTACCTGGTATCAGTTTGTAGGAGGTTTATCATGGTTGATGAGATCCAGTACATATCTGAAGATAGTGCATGAACTGAAAAACGCCATGAATCTGGTTATTGAGGAATTACTAAGTGCGGTGAAGTCTGTTATTAGGACTCCTTAATTGAAAGCATGAGTAAATTTGAAAGTCGTTAATAGTCCAAAGTGTCCGGATCTTAAAAGATTAATCGAAAAACAGAATCCAGTGGTTCAGGAAGAAGTAGTTGCGGGAGGAGGCGTCCTAACTGTATCACCGTATATACGGAATCATTGAACCCAGCTGTCTCATCGAATGATGATCTGGTCTCATCTCTAATGTTACCACATTACCATGTTGATGAAGGACACCTAGGCATAATAAAATTGTGTCACACAAGTTTATTTCAAGCAACCATTCGTGCGAGGAAACATGCGAATGAATAGTATACAAGCAGAGATAAGCAAAGTGGGGAACGCTGGCGAGCTAACTCAATATTATGAAACATGAATAAGCATTTGTAGTCAGAAAAAACAAGCCAGACATCTGCTAAGCGAAGTACGCGGTTTATGCACATATTCGAGTAAAAACGACCAAGATATCAGCGAATAACAGACAGGGTTGAAGAACATGTAAAAGGTGTTACGCGAGAAATGAAGACATTTGGCTGATTAAAACTTTTATATAAATACAATTAATTTCACTGTGTTTTTTTGGTATGTTTGTTTTACTTAACTTATGAACTTGTTTGATTCATTGCTTTCTGCCATTTTGATTTCTGTTTGTCTTGGTTTGGTCATTTGGAGTTTTTGCTCCAGGAACCTATAAAATTGAAGAACGACATTGGTCGACTATTTGTAAATTGACGAACGGCATTTTGGTCGACTATTTGTGAATTACGAATAAACTTTGGTACTTAACTTTGGAGTTTTGGTTCTGTTGTTAATTTGGGTTCGTGAATTGCGAATAGATCTACATACTGTACTTCAATAACGGGTAGGAGCAAAACTTGGAAGTAACAAAAGTTCTTCAATTTTATTTTGTTGTCAAACATTGGATACGTCTGGACATTTTGGGTCCAATTTTTGTTACTTTTGGTCGAATTCGTTTGGAAATAATTCACATTTGCCTGGTAACCGATTTTCCAACAAAGGCATACAATGGAAACCAGAAGCAAAAAGCCGAAGGAAAATGACGAAAAGGATGGTAAAGATTCTAAAGCTGTTTGTGGTATGTCTGATTTCAATGATGATAAACGTGATGATATTACTGTTAATAGTAAGTCCTCAGCTCAGTTTAGTACTTCTAGATTGAGGTTAGATAAGGCATTACTAAAGAAGAAGAATTTGGAAAGGAGACTTGAGTTTGAAAGGCAGCTAACGATGTTAGATCTTCAAGAGGAGGTTGATATGGCCGAATTAGAATGTAAGGTCATAGAAAACGATGACCGACTGTCAGTAGACAAATCTGAGATAAACGCTAAGGTGAAAGTGTACTTGGATTGTGACATTGTGCGTAATAAGCATTCCGTGGAGGTATTTAACAGCTCAAAATGCGATTGTATTGATGAATTAAAGGATACGTGTGTTGTTTTTGTGTTTCAACTTTTAGGCCGAATCTCTGCAACCACGACTATGACTTTGGATGGATAGATGTGTAGATTTATTTCGCCAGTGGCTGTCCCAATTGTTTCCAATAGAAACACTCCTGTACGTTCCTCCTAGATCCAGGTCCCAGCCAAATCAAAAGGGCAAAATTCTAGGAGAAAACGTCTCTTTATTATTATAAAATGGAAATACAGAGTCTTACGGTATTTGTGTTTCTTCCAGGGTTAAATTACTCCGCAGAGTATCCAATACAATAACTAGTAAGTGACACTAAGTCCAGCAGCCACCGCGTCCATCCAAAAATGTGGCGGTAGCCATATTATATCAAATTTAAACAATATATGTACAGTTCAGAAGCAAACACAAAAACTTCAATATAAGTACAAAATATAGAAAGAATAACAATATACAATGGTAAAAATCTCAAATTGGAATCAAATAAAATACCAAAAATGTCAAGAGAAAAAGTCCATCATGTCATAGCAAAAATATGTAAACATGGAGGGATTTTCCAAAAACACAAAACATTCAAAAAGAATTCTACAACAGATGGATGTCATTGAAGTTATTTTTACTCCATGGAAAATGCCAGTGGGTAATACTGAATCATTCTTGATTCCGCTGGTTATATTACTTCGTTAAGATTATTGTGAAAACTCGTACTGAGTGTTAATCGAACACGTTTTAGATGTAGTTTCCAATATCCAATATCTTTTTCAAGAGCTAGAATAAACCAGTTGATTTCTTTGCGCTTGATTCTTGTTCTTTCGGTGCGGTCCCAGCTTGAAACATTCTATATTGTATTTCAGACTTCAGCCCGTCTAACTATAGATAAAACTCTATTTTTTAGATGTTTGTACATTTGTGTGCCTTTTTCGATAAATGTATTCAGTTTCCACTGAAATTCGTTTGGTATGAACTGTTTGATTTACGGTCAAACGTATTTTAGTATCTACTATAATTCCCGTCATAGTTCACATTACTAGCTTCAAATGCAAACTTGATACACGAGACAGCTTCAATTTACTGGTCATTATTTGTGCTTACTATATAAAGCTACTCAGAGATATTTTATAAGTCATCTAGTGCCTCTGAAGGGTTAGAATTAACACTCCTCCGTCTTGTTATTAATGTTCGTAATCTAAAAGCGATATATAAGCAACCCACATAGCAAGCATACGTTTCAAAGGGGACTGATTAACTGAAGTCCTAAACATCAGTGGGGAGATTCAAACTACCATCTCTGGGAGGACAAATGTTATGGACGAAACACACAGAGATATTTACTAATGACCTTAAACGTTTTGAGAATAAATGGTCGAACTGCATTATCCGTTGTTATCAAATTACATTCAGTTAAGCAGGGCACGACTTAGATTATCGGTTATCTGAAAGTCTGAGCACTCAATGTACGTTGGGAAATCAGTAAAATCCTACTTTCTATTCAAACTTCGTCACCTCTGCAGCTGATACGGTTGGTGAGGTCAGAGACAAGCAGTAGGATGTGATTGCTACAAAACCCGAATCTTGGTGACAGAATCGAACTGAAAACGATGCCAGTACGATGCAATAAACGCATTCGGGTAATCTGATAGAATGAGTAGTGTTAGAAATTTCTTTGGTCTATCCTACTAGGGTTCTGTGCCTTCTCTACTGAAAAGCTGGATTCAATCCTTTTTCGACAGGTTTTATCTGCGACGATTCAGTCATCAGATGCTAATAAAATAGAGATAGATGAGCATGGTTTACTTCAAAGGTGGACGCGAAACTACAAGTTAATAATTATTAAGACTATTGAGTTACGAATTATTTTTAAAAAACGCACAAGAAAATGATTGCCAAAAAACGTAGATGAGTGATCAAAGCCGTTAACATACACATTTATTGCAAACACAACTTGAATCTTATCATGTGAAGACAGTAAATTCAGTGAATCGATTAATAACGGACAGGGTTAAAATTATTTAATGTGAGAGAAACCGAGGTATCAAGGTCATGTAAGACAGATGTCAGTAACCCTAATGGCACCAAAAAGGCAACTACAACTGACAAATGGTTTACAATATAACGACACTGGTTCCAGAACAACCAGAGACCAAACGGAATGTACTCAAATTCCGACGAAAAAAGGATGATGTGCTTAACTGAAAACAAGAGAATTGCCAGTAAAAGCACAAACGGGTTTTATCCTACATTCTCTGAGGGACATATAAAGTGGGTTTTACAAATCCTCAGTGTGTATAGTAGTTCGATCCCTTCAGACGATTAGTGATCGGAGATTTTAACTGTCATACTTATTTTTATCATGCAAAAAACTTGATGATTGAATTGATTAATTAACCACAGCGATAAAAACATAGTCATTTAATTCGGGCAATAATTTAATGTTAGCTCTAAAGTCAATCACGCTTTCAAAGCTTAGCGAGTTCAACCGCAGTTTAACGTGAAAAGTTTTGACTCATTAACTTGATGTAAACTACCATGATATTGCTTTAAAATTTAGAACCATGTAAAAGTGAGTCTTATATTTATTTGTAGAATATCTGGAGACATGACTTGAGCGTTCTTTGTCATACTGCCTACAAAATTACAGCGTGGATTCAAATACATTATTTACGATTCACCCAGGGTCGTGCTACGTGTTGTGACCTTGAAAATGAGGTACGCTATCCTGGCGTCAGCAAGTTTAATTGTTTCGTCAATCGTTGTGACGAATACTTATTACCGTAAAAAGCAGTTTTACCCTACAGTTGTATACTTAACTAATAATCAGCCATCTCTTTCTGTAAGTTTGTTTTGAACACCTGAAACACCCTGTAGATCCTTCTTTTCCAGTGTGTTGTTTTACTCTTCTTGCTCGTAAAAGCACTCACATATGCTTTCTTCGGTCGGCTTCAAAGGGCAGAAGTGGATGTAAGTTTTATCAGTTACTTATTGCTATTCTTTAGAATCTTGTTTCACAGTCGTGGTATGCATTTTTCGATATGTGCTTGGTTTTTGCATTCTTCCAAAACGAACTGGGAGTCGAATTTCTGTTCCTGTTCGCCATACTTTTATTTGTCAGAGCTTTCCACTGGTTAATTGAAGAAAGGGTCGATTACGTAAAGTCTATTAATGACCTTTATCGATTCTTAGATGGAGAGATCACCTGTCATTAGTGCTCTGTTTCACCTCAGAATTATGAGTAGGTTTATTTCTTAATGCTTGATTTTCCAGCGCTCATCACTCTTCTAACACTTGTGGACGTATATTTTATCAAAACAACTTACTGGAAGCCTGCTACACATGGAATATCCGTTCATCTGGCTTTGGGGATAGAGGTTTGAATATTATTAACATTGTCTGTACCTCAGATTGTACATTTTATCTCCTGGTGAACTGTTAGTTTTACTTGATATCGGTAAAGATATGTGTGTAATATGTTTCTCTACCATGCAGGATATAGATCATGGGTTATCCATATTACTTTACAGTTGTAGTGTGCGACAAAATTACTAATTTTTATTGTACGACGTCACCGTATTTTGTAACCGGCCTCGGTTGGCAGTAAAGGTGTAAGATATCAGGAACATTAGTGTTATCAAAATACGGGGTAAAAAAAATCTGTGAATATTTTGGTTTTTGGGAAATGTATTCTTCGTGGTTTGATCTATAAAAATTGTAACTTTCAAATAATATGATTTCATATTGATTCTTTTTATATGTGCATTTACCTGAAATTAAAGTCTAGAGGTAGTTACTTAGTATCCGGACCGTAGATTAGTCGATTTCGACTGAATAGGTGGAAATGGACTACTTGAACCATCTCACTGTTTGTAACTAATTGACTGACCAGCCTTATCCACAAACTTTCAGTTACTTTTTGTATTTAGGCGCTATGTGATTTGTCAGTTTTGTGTCGGTAAAAGACTAGTATTAAATACGTACCTAATCGTTTTCATAAACTGCTACGCACTCTACAATTGTTTTTTAAGTGTATTACTAAAATTTTTAGAAACGAGTTAACCTAAATGTCACTTTCTTATAATTTAGTAAGGTTGTTGTTCACCCAAGTTTAGGTAAGCCATCATAGTTTTGTACCACTGACTCTACGTTTGGGCCATGTCGGAGTGTTGACTTAAGGTGGAACCTTTGAAAGGTTGATGATCACTGACTAGGAGGGATCTAGCTTAGCATAAACTATCGGTAATCACTGTTCTGAAGATACACTTGTTTTTACCTCTTAAGATATCCAAAATCCCTTGTCACTTTTTACGTTAGCTCCATATTCACCTATGTTATTCCTTCATAGTTTCCTTAGCTGGATAACTTAAAATGTCACATTATTAAGGAAAGTCCTGTCCTTATTTTGATGGAAAACTAATTATGCAAACCTTAGCAGCGGCTGAAATATTTTTTATCTTTGGAACCATGATATCCACTGTAGTATCGCGTTCTTCATACTTCTCAGTTTGATATGAATTGACTGCTATGGTTATTGGGTTGTCTTCATTTGGCGTGTTTGCTCATGACCTAGTTAGGTTGTAATTAAAGGTAACCAATAAACTTACCAGTTTAACAAAGTCTTCTCAATATTATTATGATCTAGGTTTATTCTTGTACTCGTTTTAATAGTTTTAATTAAATAATGATTTATTTGTTTTCAAATATTTTCAGTACTTCATTTTAGTATTGAGTCTTTTATCGACAACTATACGTTATGTTTTACATTCAATTGACTCAATGCGAGAGCACTCATGGAGTAAAAAAGCCACATATCTCTTATACGTAGACGTTCTCATTGGATTTATTCGTTTGGCTGTTTACGTTGAGTTTACGTTCATTATGTGGTCACTGCATCCATTTCCTTTGTTTATCGCACGACCTATCTATCTTAGCATCAGATCACTAAAAAAAGCAATTCGAGTAAGTTTTCGACTATAAAAGTTTCGTAATGTTCGTGGTATTGACTCTACATTCTTTTATGGATGACTGACATATTCATGTGTATCGCCTTTATATCATATCCAATCTCATTACGTGATTAAAAATTCGTACTTTTTATCTACTTCCTTACCTTTCATAAAGATCTTGGATCTTTTTCCACTTTTAGATTTATCAGTGTTAAAGCGAGAAAAGAATTATCATACATTAAGGTGCTGATACTAGGAGATACATTCAACATTTAAACCCATATCAATGTGCTATCGCAAGTTTGAAAACATTCCGATACAAATATTAAAAACGATCGTGATTTGCCGTTTAAGTCAGTCAGTCGGTTACAACATAGAACTTCGTACTTAGGTACATCAGTTCCAGTTGACATATCACATAAGCACAGAGACGCAATTGCCAATCCAAATCCCATAGTAGTAGAGGTAGTAAAAGTATTAGCAGTAATCAGAGAGATTAAGGTTCGAAGATTTTATTCGATTAGTGGAATCTGGTGATGAGCAACTCCGAGGTTAAGGTTTGAGAGAAGATCCGAGTATTATTATTATCCCACACAAAGAGTGGCTGCAAGCCAAGTATATAAACCTATTCTTGGTAAATAAGTTAGATGAGTTTTTCCTGTACATCTAACAGTCATTAACTTAATGTAACGTTAGGCTTCTTTCACCTAAAGGTATCTAGTCACAAGCCGTATATTTGACACCGATTATACATAGTATGAATGGAAACTAATCCTAATGGGACTTACATAGCTAGATTTAATCATTCTTCATTTATTTCTGAGTTGTGAAAGGGTTTCAGTTTCTGGGGATGGGCACTTGAATTTCAACCGAGATCACGACAACCAACTGGAAATATATTACTTCAAAGTTTGTTTATAATAAAATATTTTCTCGACTTAAGAAAATTCTCACCAATTATCTTACTTAGTATATTCTTGAGCACTTAACAATCCTGGTTGTAATCTTTTATTTACTAACTAAGTACTAGTCAGATACGTTTTACTTTCCATAGACTTTTTCTATCATAACAATTGTAACAGTAGTTAACTGGAACTAGTGTACTTGTTAAAATTGTGCAGTCACTTGTTCAACCCCATTTATCTTTATAAAAATTCTACACCTAGAAAGGTATCATCCAATGTGTATCCAACACTAAAGGTAGTGCTCATTCCTCGTATAGCACCGTTTGTATAATGGATCCACATTTAAGAGTTCTTACAAAACATTAGCATTATATGTGGTTACTTTAAGCATGATATGACTCGGGATATTAATTTTTGCTTTATGTTTAAAGGATGTACTGATGTCACGTCGTGCGATTCGATATATGAATACAGTTTTCCGTGATGCTACTCCAGATGATCTGGCCTCTTCCTCAGATACTGTTTGTATAATCTGTCGTGAAGAAATGAATGTCCCAACAGACAGTCCCCCATCGGCTGCGATTTCAGCTCTTAAGAAGTTACCTTGTTCTCACATTTTCCATGTTACTTGCTTGAGATCATGGTTCCAGCGTCAGCAAACTTGTCCAACCTGTCGAATGGATGTTATTCGAGAAGCTAGATTGCAAGAAGTACAACGACAGCAACCTCTTCGTCCAGGAGCCACTAATGCACAACCAGATAGCTCAACAACTTCTGGTTCATCTAGTTCAACTGCTGCACAGTCGGTTGCAGCTAATAATCAAAATTTTTACATGCCATGGATGGTAAGTTTATTTAGTTTGTCTTCAGATCCATCGTAACAAGTTACCTATTCTTCTCAAACATGTCTGACTGAAAATTAGTATGATAATGATACAAGAACAATAAAAACTGAAGGGTAATTTGCCTCAATTTTAGTGAATCAATGACTTAATAGGTATGACATTTGATTTAGGATCGGTAGGTAACATGTTCCAACATTACTGAATACAGTTTGTACAGACTAATATTTGCACACCATGTGACTCCAAGTGAAGCACGTAAATTTTTACCTAGAGTTACTCCATCGGTTTGTTCTTGATTACAATTACCTTAAATAGAACATTTTTCGACCGTTCTTAGACACAGCATTTTATGGTGAAGGTTGATTATTTCCTTTTCTATTTGCTAACCAGTTAGTATCATGCCGTTCACAGGCGTGTGATATGAGACCATAGAATTTTGGAAACCACAGATATTTAACAAAACATATTTCAACTGTAATTACTTGTCGCACATAGTTGTAAAAACAAATTTTATTATTAGGCTGTCCTATTTGAAAGTAACTTTGTTACATATTAATTAATTAATATCTAGTGTCGGTTCAATTAAAGAGAATATTCTAATGTAGTATGATGAGTTCAATATTTTGTAGTATGTGAAAATACATGTGATTATTAATTAGGTCAGACAAAATATATGTAAGCCAATAAAAGTTTAAATTCAAATTTTATCCAACTAGGAGTTCATTTAGTTGGAGACGAGGCTAGGGTGATTAATTTTTCAATACTTCTCTGCCTAATTTCGATAAACATCTAAGCTTTTATTCTTAATTGAAGGATTTAAAAAGATTTCATCGGTATCTTATGACGCTTCTTTTTCATTTTCAGAGTAGCTGAAATCGGTATCTTTTGAAGAGAGTGACACATTTGTGTATACTTAGTTATACTTTCATCTTTAATATAACGTATTGTATTTACAGATATGCTTAGCTTACTTGTGTTTAGTTCCGAAACTCCGAATGACTACTGATATGAACTTATTCGATACCAAAAATGAGTCAAAGCACTTTATGAATACACTACTTTTTATATGATTTTTTCGCAGTCGGTTCTGTATAATTTTACCTGTTCACTAATTGACATCCACCAATAAATACCTTACTGTGTGAACACATACAATTAAGTGTCTAAAATTAGCTGGTATGATTGGTTATTTAAGTTATAGATTACTTCTTAAAAGGTGATTATGTGTTACAGACAATCAGTTACCGTAGTGGGTTAGATCATTGTTCTCATTATCACATACTATCACCGTCGCCTGACATTTTATTGTCTTTTCAGCCTCCTGCAAATGCATTCCCATTCTACCCACCATTTGTGCCGCCTACGAGTAATTCAACTACACAATCTCAAACAGCCATTCCACCGATGCCTCCTTTATACATGCCACCTTTTATGGGAATGCCTATAATATACCCTGGTAAGTTAGGTTCATTGTCTACTGCAGTGGTTTCATCGGAAATTCTCTTTATAACCACACGATCTTAGTGTTGTACATCGCTTCATTTTAATGTTCATCTCATAAATTCAAATTTTACTTGAGCTGTTTTGACATCAGGGAACATTATCCAAATATGTAAGTAAAGTAGACCGTAATATTTAGAATAAATAATAATCACAAGGCATTTTGTTTGGAAGTTTAAACTATCCAACTTTCGAAGGTGAATAGTTGATGTAATCTACACATAATCGTAACGAATATTACTAAAGTTCGTTAATCCCTTCCGGGGTCCTGTATTTGTAATCAACTTTAAAAAATGAAGTATGAAAAGAACGGCTATTAGACTAAAGTCTATTTGGTTTTTCAATACGCATTTATTAGCATTTACCAGTTTAAATCATATTAAGGTTTATATTACCTGTTTTTAGCAAAATATCTTACTACTTAACTTTTTGTGGAAGCTTATTATATTTCACGTATCTATGATTGACATTATACGTTTGAAATATTACAATATATATCCCTTATATTTTAAATTAGAAGGGTGTTGTCTGATAGTCTACCTGTTACATGATTTTATAAATCTATTGACTGTATTAAACTAGTCAAATTCTAATTGTAATGATCGTTTGCCGTTATCTATAAAACTAATTTACAAAGATAGGAATGAGTAATAATCATCTTCAATTACATGTAATGTATAAACTAGCGCACGCAATGTTTTTACTTTGAATGTATCGTAATCTGTAAATACGGTGTGTAACTTTACTGTGTTGTGTAAACTAGGTTTTTCTCATATTCCTATATAGATTTACATCAGTAAACTAATGTATCATGCTGTACTTAGGTAACTTGTTCTCTAATGGAAGCACTCCTATGCCAGAACCGCCCTCTGGACTACCTGAATCAGCCGATGAAGCTCGCCTTCGTGCCAGCGCCGAGGCTCGTTTCACTGCTTTACGTCAAATAAATGTACTGTTGAATGCTGCTGTCCTACAAATGAATGCTTACCTGAATGCGGCTAGTGCTCCCCCAAGTGAATTAGAACCTATGACTTCTGTTAATTCTGTCGTTAACACTGACAATATAGAATCAAAAAATGAAGGAAAGGAAATCTCAAATAATGATGCGAATTCTCAGTAAGTAGTATTTTGACTCACCCTAATTATTTCTATTTGTATCATTAATATGTCTCACATTTGCCAAAGCGATCTGACTTTTTGTTCAGAAACGTTTCTATATACTGAAATAATTTTCAAGATAAATCGATGTTCACTTTTTGGTACAGTCCTGCTGAACTATATTTTCGACATTTATGTGAAATATTTACTTTCGGTTTTAGGAATTATGGGCTGCAATCGATAAAAATGTCGTTGTCCATTTTTATGCTCTGTATATCAATTGCAGCGCTTAGATGTTCGAAAATTATTTGACGGTTAAGTTTCTAGTTGGTCCTATTATTGTGTCTTCGCGAATCTTAATGACTAACAGTTCCGGCCATTCAGTCCTTAGTAGTTTGTTCAGCTCAAAGCGTTTCTTTTTGTTAATAAACTTAAAAAAGGGTTGTTTTGTCTCACGCTAGAAACTTTTGGCAGCCAGTCGATCCTTCAACATGCTTTTTATAAAAGCCTTAACGGTATTCTGGGTATTTCTAATTAACTATATATGATTTGCTCCTGTTTTACAAGTTCCTTAAAGGTTTTACTTAAACTGTTAAAACCTTCGACGAAAGTTTCAGTTAATTATGTTGTAAAATAAAACTGCTCATATTAAAGTGATTATTTAACCCATTTTGTAGTTAATCTTCCTACTTCTAACCGATAATCCTAATACGAATAATGTCGTTCACGGAAATTAAATAATTTAAATGTTTCGTAAAGCTAATGGGTCTTGATAACATGGTCAAGAAATCATATTACAGACTATAGTGAAGGATCAACTTAAAAAACTTTTTAATTTCTTCCTCAGTCCTAGTTAATCGTGAGAAAAATTCAACTATTGATGAGATTTGTCAGGCTCATCAAAAAAGATCCTTCAGTTGAACACCTGTTACCTATAGTTTAAGTATAGTGTCGTTATTAATAGTATGGAAATAGGGCATTTTGAACGTTAACAAAAGGGTTGGGAAAGAGCGTGTTCGTTAGCAACAAGAAAGTCGAACACATAACTTGGGTATTTTTAGGCAGAAAAGTGGTATCAGTTCCAAATTGTAAAAACTGAACTACAAACTAGTAACCGTATTTTGAAATCAGAACACTTGACAAAGCGAGGTTGCAGAATACGATCCATTTAGAGACCACTGTGAATAACCGTATGAAAACTTGAATATGTACATTAGCGTACTACTCTGGTATTCTGTTGATGTATATGTAGTGTTCGAACTATGATTGACTGCGTGTTCAGTTTACCTATATGTGGTACGGTTAGTGTCATTCAAATTGTGTTCACTGTCCCTATATTGATTGATTGTTCGTAGTAATTGGAAAGGCAAATGCGGTTATCTGGGGCTAAAAACAACTGGGTTGTTACTAGGAGTTCCTTTCAATGGACTTCTTCGTTATTACTATTCTTTTCACTTTTATCACCAGCGATTTTCCCAAGTTAGTACATGGTCTTATGTAAACCCCTTACTCCAAAGAAGATTTTGACTTTGCTCAATCGAATAAAATCTTATGAAATAATCAAATTACTCAAATTTAAAGGAATGACATAAAATTGTCTACAACGCCTATGTACTTTTAGCGAAATCCCTAAGAGGAAGCTCAAAAGGCCAAGAAGTTCTTATATATGTAGTATTTATATATATATGTGTATATAATAGTAAATTTCAGAGCGAGTTTTACCAGTCATTGGTAACATTGACTCATCGCGTTGTAAGTTTGGATATACTATGATAGAACATTCGAATTTTATCGTCCCTACATATTATATCTCAGAATGATTTATTTCGTTCAATTAGACTATGTTTTATGAAAATTGAACTTTTAGTTGTGAAGGTTATGCAACTATAATCTATCTCAATGTTTTGGTCATGTTACCTAAGTAGTTATCTATCCTTTGTCTGTTGCTAGGTCACATCAGTTAATTCAGTTATTTATTTACATTTTCCGTGTTGAATGCGTATTAGAAATCATAAACTGTCTAAAGTGATTGGTTTTATTTTGAAACCTAATTTTTGTGAACTTGAATGTCAAAATCTGATAAGTGAACTTCCTGTTGTAAAAAATTACACGAATTGTTTATATTGCTGGAAATATTCAGGAATATTTCCTTAATTTTTTTATAGAGATCAAATGTTTCCGTATTTTAGTTATTTCGTTATTGAGTTTCACGGAAAACCAAGTACTTGCATGCTTTTGCACTACTCACTTTTAGATCATCCCAACAAATTCCTTATTTGATTTTGATTTGTGACGAATCATATTAATTCCAATAATGTTTTTTGATTGCCTGGTCGTGATTCAGGAGTCATTCAAAATCATCATTATAGTGGTTGTTCCTAATATTTTGACTAGAAATATCTGCCTGCCATCTGACTAGTCAATATACCGGTTATTTTCGGACTAGTTTTTATTTTCGACTCATGGTCCAAGGTAATTCGTGGTTTTACTCCTACACCAAAGTCTGTTCGAATTCACAATTAATCTGTTCTTGTAATACAAAGATTCTAGTTTAAGAAAAAACGAAATCTTTGACGTCTGTTTCATGTGTCAATTACAACTGTGAGTGTTAGTTTGCATTGTAGCTGCCGTTAGGTTAATGATCTAATATTACTGTTTTACACTACTTTATGGCCAAAAATGTTCATGACCTCTGTTTTATGCTTTTCCTTTGTTTACCTTTCTCCTGATTTCAGATTACAATCTGATGATAAAAATCTTACATCTGGTAAGTAAATGTTTTGTTCCGATTTCGACTTTTTAAAGTAGCAGCTTTGGCATCTTAGGTTTGAAACTGTGGAAGAATATATCTATCATTACTTCCCATCTCTTAGATACCTTCATGAGGATCAAATAAGTGGTGAAATCAGGAGTACTTACTTTTTACTTATTGTTTTACAAATGGAGACTAATGGTTGGTAAAACACAAAGGTGTAAATCACTAGGACTGGTTAGTCTTGAACTGATCACCTAAACATGGATAGCCGAAGAATATTCACCTCAAGTCCTGGCAGTAGTAATATAATTTGGTAACGATTCTCAAGTGAAGTGAAAAACAATTTCAGTTGGGTTATATTCTGATGCTCATTGGTAGTTGCTTGTTAGATGTATTCACTGAGTAATCCTAACTAGACAGGCTTTGGGATTGAGTAATCTGTGGTGGTGTTTCGTCGTTTAAGTTCAACAGCAACCAGTCAAGATCGAGGTTAACAGAACAAGCTACGGGCAAACGTGGAAAAATTCGAATACTTCATTTCTATCTGAAGTTTGTGATAATGATGTTATTCAGACGAATAATGAAAGCTCCACAATCTTAACATCCAGCTCAGAGAACGAAACACCACCACAGTTATCCACCTGAGCTACAAATTTTCTCCACCATCTCAGTTGAGTAACCTCTTCCTTATAACATCGAAAGAACATAGGTACGAAGTAATTTAGCGCTTAAACAAAACTGAACGATAATTTTTTCGATGTCAAGTAGGTTTTAATTCTGGTTAGGATTACCAAATATTCTATACTTTGTGCTTAATTCTTAAACACTCCGAAATTGCTATATTTTACGCTCATTTAATATATTTATTGTGAATCCAGCAACTGCTTAAATATTTGGGCTACCTGTTTTCCTTACATTAAAATATTTCAACAAGTTACCTGTTTTCGTTTGTTGCTAACGCTAATCATGTCCGTTAGGCACACAACCTTTTCAGGCGCCTATATAAAAAATTTACGACCTTTCGCTCTACAAGGTACAAATACGTTAAATCCTAGACATTACGATGGCTGTCGATATATATTGAAACGAATGAACATTAATCAAATGTCGATTCCTAAACTACTAACCCCCAGCTGTCTAGCACTTTGGAAAGGTGGGCTGTCTTCAATTCTGACTAGGTCTAAACATATCTCTCAACTGAAGAATCCTGATTAAATTACTCAGACGATGATTGTTTAGCATCACTACATAGCTTGAATATTTATCCTCAGGATAGATCAAACAATAAGAAGGAGTGTGGTGGTTGTGTAGCCATATTTGTAAATATTAACTGGTGCCGATCTTGTTTTGCATGTTTTAGCTTTTCAAGGGACTTTATAAATTGTCCGACCCTAGGATGCCGTCCAAATTATTTGGATATGAGCAATTATATTTATAGTACCAGCATATACGTGAATCTGAACTGTACCTCATCTGCCCTATCTGTTTTCCTTGATGAATTTACCGAATTTTCTGTTACTGCCTTCATTGGTTCACTTTGAATTATTTGTGGTAATTTTAATTCGCATGACTGTAGCTCTCTTTCAGAACTAGGTCACCAAAATGTAGTTGATTTTCTCACTCATTCAAATGTACAATTAGACCTAGTTTTGACAATTGATATGGGGACATATGTAACGCGTAAACATGCTTCATTACTGATTTCCGATCTTTGTATTATTCGTGTTCTACTCAAAATAAATGGCAAACATGCAAAGAGTACACTCTTACACCGGACAAAGAAAGTTAAATATAGGAGTAACTCAAGGAAATATCTAAAATCTGAAAAATATGTTTCCCTACGAAAGACGGATTTATTTACAAATGACTCATAGGAAAACACCGTTGGTGTTTCCACTTGTTATCCGTCTCAAATTCTTTTTTTTTTGTTTTTTGTTTCACTCACCATTTTTTATGAGGTTTGAACGATTTAAATCCACAGAATTAAAACAACTACAAAATCTAGACCTATAGCAATTATTTTACCTTTTCTTAAGACAATGGAAAAACTTTCGCTGTCCCAACTTCGGTGTGCATTGAAAGAGCCTATTGATCTGCATCAGTTTGCTTACCAACGTAAAAAAGTACCTTGTATGCTGCTGTAGTCTCGCATCATATCATAGTGTTCAGCCCAGAAATAAGTGAATGTGTTCAATGCGCATTTCTAGACTGTACTACTGTCTTTGAATCTACATCAAGACTACAACCACTAAACAGGTTTACCAGCAACAACACCGACAGCTGATTAATGGACTATCAGTGTTATTATCTCTTTGGAGGAGAACGGTATTCTGTGCTTAGAAGAAAGTATTTAACGTCTTTACTGAGTCAGTAGGGTATGTCATAAGGAGTTCTTTCCCCTTTTCTTTTCTCGCTTTCTCTACATGATCAACCGTCTACAGAAAACACTCATTGTATATACTTCGAATTCTGCCTCTTCACATCTTGAAATGGATGAGTTCTTGTCTGTCACTGAACAACGGTCTGTCGTTAATAGTTTCTTACTTTATCTTTTAAAATGTCAAGCAGCTAAATTTAGCCTGAAACATTAATAAGATTTAAACACCCTGTTAAGATTTCGGGAAGTTTATACTATTGGTGTAAATTTCTCTCCTAATCCCTCTTGGTTTCTTCATGTTTTACTGATATCGAAGAAAGTTTTCTGGCTGATTTATTATATAAAGTGGCTACATGTTTTTGACATTGCTCAGCACTCACGTTCACGATTAGTAGGTTCTTGTTTACTGTTTATTATTCTTTCCTGGGTTTTGAGAAAAGATTTTACTGTGATGCGCAAAGTGCTGAATGCGATTAGTTTAGTGTGTGACGAATATTTTGAGGTCATTATGTATATAGCTGTTGATAGAAATTTAAAAGTTAGCAAATTCCTGGCAAGCGTTTTCTAATCGGAAACTAATCATCCACTGCATTCACATTTTTCACTTAGAATATCTTTCAATACAATAAGACGTATGTATATAGTATCCATGCAAACAAGCAAAGGCTTAAACTAAATATGAATGTATAGTTTACTTCAATAGAGCTTAGTCTGTATTTTATATATTGTCAAGGATTGCACACGAATTCCAACTTACCACTATTATATTTGATTTAAGTACCTATCATGTGTATTGAAGTATGACCTATAAATTAAATTGCTACCTGACCTGAACTTATTTATTTTGTTCTTTTCTCGAAATTTGTATTGTTGCATCTAGAAAATTCTGAACTAACGGAACTTCGTAAACGTAGACTGGAACATCTTGAATCCTCATCTGGGGACCGCGCTTCACAGTCTAACTCTAGACCTGATGCTGAATCCATTTGATCTTACGATCATTATGCACCTAACAATAATATTGCTCAGTTTATTCTGAGTTGAGTTTCTGTAACTTGAATTTTCTGTGACTACATATTCTTTTAGAATTCTTAAATAAAACAAATGGCTTTCAATGTATTTCAGATTCCTAATTATCTCTGACGTAATACTGTTTCGTTATATTTTGTTTTTAAGTGACTGTGGTAGTTTGCTGTTAACATATAGTTTGTTAAGTGACATAGGGTGTTTGATATTTCACTTCAGTATGATAAGCAATATGATTTTCTCCAATCTGGA